TGATCTTTTTTCTTCTGCCTCAAAAAAACGAACTTAAAAAATAGGGAGAGACCTGGAAAAGATTATACAGTTTCAGGTCCTATGCACTGATAGCTTAATTATGATTATTTCTCTTCTCTCATTGCACTGAAGTTGCACCCTCAAATATCTCAAACACCTAACTCCGAGCTCATGCTACTCTAATTAAATACTATTAATTTAACTAAGTACCTACTTACTACTACTTCACTAAGAAATAATTTTAAACTAATTGATAATTGTCAATATTCACACTAATATGCAAACCAAGAAGCTTTGTGTTTACACTGTGGAGGGGTGCGGGGGGGGGCAGAAACACATATTCTATTTTTCTAAGAGCATATCAGAGTTCAGTTTCTCATTTACTCTCACAAGAGCTCTCCAGTTTTCACCTCTGTTGCAAATGTTTCCCCCCAAATTTCCTCCCTTCCTCAGATTCTAAGCTGCCACTGCTGTTCCTCCCCAGTAGCCACTGTATCCATCAGCAGGTGTGCCACACACATCCATGTCTTCTTCACCTCCCCAGAGCCCACTTGTGCTCTGTCTCCATCAGCATTATTTCAAGCTGTGTTGTGATGACCAAAGAAAGGGTTATTTTGGAAAAGATTATTTCCTGTCTTTTGACATTTCTTCACCTTACAGATGACTATCTAAGCGTTCAAACTACAGCCCGGGATGCTTCTTCTCTCTCAGTTTTGCTCTCCCTCTACCTCCACTCCTAATTGCCTGACAAAATACTGGGGTTTTTTTGCAAGACACTATCATTTCTTTAGGTGGGAAGCTCACCACACAGAGGTAACAGTTACATTTACACTCCGTATTTCCCACATTTCTACCATTTAAAGGGTAAAGGGAAAGAGAATAAATTTCTGAAACCTCGATCCCAAATCTTCTTAGGACTCAAAACAAAGAGTTTCAATGCAACGAGTTAACATACAAAGGTGGAAAAAAAAATAAAAATCAAGCACTAAATTTATGACTTTTTTGGCCACTGAGGAACGGGGCAGAAAGCCCTCCCTTCTCCTCCCCCGACAGAAGGAGAAAGAGAAGACGGGAGTGCAAACCACCGCCTTCTCCTCGCTTCTTTTCTCCTCGCAACCCAGCACCGCCCACCGCTCTCACCCCTCCGCCGGGCCGGACCGGGCTCCGTCCCGCTGCAGCCGCGGCCTCTCAGCCCCGCGCCCGCCTGCGCGGCCCCGCCGCCATCTTGCACCGGCACCGTGTGGCTGCGCGCGGAACCGCGCTCCGGAAGGGGCCGCCCCAACTCTATGGTTCCGCCGCCCCTCGCTCCCCCTCGGAGGTTCCGACTCTGTGGTTGGACTGGGGCGGGGCCAGGAGGCGGGGCTGGAGCGGGGGCTGGCATGGACAGGGATAGGGATAGGGAGAAGGACAGGGGCGGGGACAGGGATAGGGAAAGGGACAGAAACAGAGACAGGCTGTACCCAGCCAGCCCCGCCGAGCCCTGAGAGCAGGTGAAGACAGAGTTGGGGAGGGATACGGGTGAGAGAGCCCTACGCCGACAAGGCAAGTGCTGGAAAAAGACTGGAATAGGCCAGTGCGGGAATAGGGACAGAAGGGAAGGCCTGTGAACGTGGTCGTCGAGGGCGCTGTTCTCCCGCACTCTCCAGGGGAGATCCCACAAAGTGCCCACCACCCCCGCCCTGAAACAAGGCAGAGCCAAAGGGCATGTGAGAAGTCTCTGTCCATGGGGAATAAACGCAAAGTGCTGCGGGAGCAGGAGGGAGCTGCCCACAGCCTCAGGTCTGTCATATGGGTTTGTTGTAGGATTTGGCCTCGAGGCAGCGCTGCTGCCCTGTGAGCGGGGCTGGCATCCCTCTCTTGGGCAAGCCGCCGTTCCACGGGACTACTGGGAAAAAGTGACTGGATGACGTTCATCTGGGAGCTCAGGCTGTACTAAGGGAACAGGAGAAAGTCTGGTCCCATCAGGGACCACTGGAGCTACTCTGTTACTTGTCTCTTCCTTCAGCTCCCCTTGTGGTGAACTGGTGAGGCTGGGGAACACCGTGTAGGAGCTGTTCTGCATCATCGTCCAAAGTACAATTTCTAGCAAAAGTCCACAGCACACAAAGAACCAGGATAAAGATCCATGAAACATCAGGGTGCAAGCAATAAAATATAGGTGCAGGATTAAAGAATTAGCATGCCAGGGAGAGGTGTAGGAAGGACAGTTTTCTCTGCACAGGCAGCACCTGGGAGCAGAGGTGGTCAGAGCTCTGAGCAGGATTTGTAGACCACCCCCCCACACACTTCTGGTGAACATGCCATACAAGACAATGTTATTGCAGTTTTTCAGATAATGGAGTCTCAGTTGGCAAACTTGGAAGTTTATGAAGGATCATTGCAGGATGGGTAAAAGACTATAAGCTGTGTATCATAATAATGCCAACATCCATCCCACACTGCACAAAATCCAAGTTAGCAGATAGCTAGTCCAGGAGAATCCTTGGAGCCAAGGCTTCAGAAGCTCTCAGTGCCTAGGGAGTCTTGCTCTGCACAGAGCAGAGTCATCCTCACCTTGTGTCTCTTTGGCCTGTTCTCTTTACATTATTCTTGTTACCAGAAAGAACTTTCTGCAGGGCAGATTTTGCTTGCAACCATACTGTTTTTCCACACCGGTTTGAAAGCAGCTTAGACTGGCTTGGGCTGGTTTAGTTTCTTTTCTTCCTTGAGGCTGTTCTGACTTGGAACACGCATATCATAGTTTTAATTCTTAATCCTTTGTCCAGAACAGCAGCCTGAGCAAAGGGAGAATGCTCGAGGGGATGTGATGTAAAGCTGTGGCCATGCACATCCCTGTCATGCAACATGTCACTGGAGAGGGGACGGCTGAATTTTTGAAGATTAGTTGCACCTTACAAAGCTTGGGGCTTTCTGTCGTGGGAACACTGGGCTCAGTGGGGACAAAGGTGCTGCCTCAGCCGTGACTGCTTTCTCCCAAAAGTGTCTGCTGACTTGAACAGTAGTTCTCTCACATTTTTCACTCGATACTTCTGTCACACCAAGATGCAGCTCCAAGGAGTGTAGAGAAGAAATATCAATAGATGGGTTATGATACCTTTGGAGCACCAAGTTTAAGGCTGGACAGACAGTTAGAAAGATCAGGGATTAATTCTGTGGTGGGGAAGCCTGCTTTCCTTTAAGTCCACTAGGAACAAGGATATGCATAGAGCTGAGTAGAAATTGTATATCTCTGTGTTCCTCATTGTGTATCCCACTTCCCCTGACACTGCTTAGTACATGCTTTCAAGAAAATGTGGACAAACTGCCTGAAAAATACAAGAGATTCATTTTTATTTGACTCCACTATTCTTGTACAGCAGTGATTGGGAATCTCACAAAGAGCTGGTGGTTTTTCTTCCTAGTTTAGAACATACATTTGCACATAGAAAGCAGGAGCCAGGAACTCCTACCTCTCCAACACTCAAATATTGCTATTCTGCCTATTGACAATCTCTTGCCTCTATGCAAGTACCTCTAAACTGAGTGCCACTTGTGTCAGGAGACAGAAAACGTCACATTGTGGAGAAATGATGTCTCAGGTCACCATGTCATCCACCACAATACCTCATGCACGCAAGGTAGTGCTTTTTGCCTCCTCTGAATTGCCTCTCCTGATGCACATAGCCTAGTGTGTGGCTTGTGCTGGTCTCAGTTTCTCAGTTCCTGGCACCCACCCACGTTCCTGAAGCCTGGACTTTCTCCCCAGTAACTGGCAGAGCTGGCAGAGCTGTCGAGTGCTAGCAGTTTCATCGCCATCTAATGGCTTTTGAGCACAAAAGCAAAGAGGAGTCAGAACAGATGATTAAAGTGAGACCAGTGGGGGAGGGGGGAAAAAAAGGACTCCATAATGGAAGGGTTGTGCAGCCTATTTAGGCTTTTATCCCTTTTGTAATCTTACCCATTTCTTTATTTTCATAGGCATAATCTAGTTATTAATAAATTACTATTGCTAATATTGAATATTAACAAACATGTATGAATTTGGACATGCTTTTAGTTTGGGGGAAGCTGGTACTAAAAAAGGAACCTATACACAATCCGACTAGATTGTATCTATCAGTCTATCATGGATATAAAAAAATTATAAAATTTATAAATTGCATCTATAATGAAGATTTTAATATTTTCATTATTTGGTTTAAGATTGGGTTTTCAGAACAAAAAAAAAGTACAGAAAATAAAGGTCTTACAATACGTACATTTTTATTAAGTCTTAAATTACCTTTTTTTTTCTAAAATCAAAAGAAAGCAATCCACAGCAAATCAGAGCAAGAGACTACAAATCATGTTCTTCCTTCCATCTTTTGTTTTAAAATCTGAAAAATAAGGACATTTGGTAGCATATTGTGAAATGCAGAATCTGAGCCTTCTCTTGGCAGTCTCACATTAGTGGGACTGGGTAAAGCATTTGAAAATAACTTCGGTGCATTAATAGGTCTGCAATCCTACAGGCGCTTGTACATTTGTACAATTCCATTTCAATCAACAAAACAGCAGCTTTGCAAAGAAGTTTTTACCTGTGGGTTTGCAGGAGCAGAGCATTACCAAGCATAAGAGGTTATTCACAGCCAGGCACACCTGGAATGTGTCAGCTGGTTTCTCTCAGCTGTGGGGCCAAGTTGTGTGTGTGTACCTGTAGGCCCAGGCTTCTCTTACCTGCCAATCTACTGGGATTAGAGTTTATTTAAAGATCTCTGGCTGGCTCCTTAGGCAGGGATGGGACAGGAAATAGCAGCTAAATATGCTTCAACTAGTCCTTATAAGTAGTTCAGTGAACAGGGAATCCAGTCTATCAGATTTAGCACTAATCCACACTAAGAGTTTAGCAACCACAGCTGTCCTGATGAAGCCTCCAGATGTTGGCATGGATTGCCTTGTTGAAATTGTTTTCTCCCATCATGTTGTATATGATAAATGTATATATATGTATATAGAAACATAGAGAAAAATCAGACCTCCTCACCACCACTGCTCCAGCAGTGAGTATTATTGTCACTGGTATGAATTACAGTTCAAGGTTATCTACAATGCATTCCAGAAAATAGTGAAGGAAAGGTACAAAGTATTTGAAACATTGCCATCCAGAAACACCTATAAGCCAGTTTCCTATTAATATATTTCATTGCCAATTCCCAGAATTGTCACATCTCTTGCTCTGCTGCCACTAATAAGAAAAAAAGCCATCAGTAGTTCATTTGCGATAATGAATCAAAAAGGTTACTTCAGGCATAGCTGCTGCAGCCACTGTCACAGGAGAAGAGAGAACTCTGACTTCATTCACTGAACTTGTTGTCTCACCAAAGAAGTCACTTCATGTATGGCACGCTGGTACTTTTCTGAGGCTGCTTTAAACTCAGCCAGGTGCTTCTCGTAGCTTCTCACAGCTGTCAGAAGCTCATTCCTCTCCACGGCTCCCAGGATGGCATGGAGGATCATTTCAATGCCAAGGCCAATAATGGTAATGCTAATTCCCCCAAGAACAGATGCCCCAATCTGTGCAAGGAGACCGATGAGCTTGCTCACAGTGAAAGTTAAAAGATTGGAGCCAAGAAGTTTGATAGCTACCATCCCAGCTGTTGAAGTTGCTTCTCCAAGAATAATGGAAAAAACTTTCTGAGCTATTGCAATTTTCTCCAGTTCAGGCTCTTTGATGTCATATAGCTTCTGGTACAGCACTGGCTCGAGCTTTTCCTTCATGTCACTATCAATCTTCTGTACCTGATGCTGAATCTCACTCATCACTTGAATGATTATGTCACAGTTTTCCTTGACAGTACTGCTCTCTCTCATCTGAATGTGGGAAATGGTACAGCCCAGGTGTTCATTCAGCACTCCAACCAGCTCATTTGTTGCACGGAAATTTGTGGACATGCACTCAAGCAATTTCTGATGCAAATGGATCAATTCTTGCTTTCTCTTGGGATTGTCTGGGTAAAGAAGGTCACTCAATGCCATTCTTCAGAAAAAGCCTACTTCAAGAGAGAAAAGAAATCTTTTACTCTGTTCAACACCCATAACTGTAGCAGTGAAATGTGCTTTGTCTCTGCCTCACTGGTTCTTTTTATGCTCAGCAGGTCAAATCCCAAGGCATATCTTACAAATCTTTATTCTTGGTTTGGATCTTTAGACAAATAATTGGAAAGGACCTTTTAAGACACTGGGTATACTCAGAGCAGCAAAAATAGCTAACAAATATGTAATTAGCATAAATTGTAAATAGAACATGGTTCACTGAAAACTGAAGATTGAAACTGAAATTGGAACCTTGGAAACTGAAGATGATAGAAGCTGAACTAGTTCACTAAAAAATGGAACAATCTCATCTAATCAGCAAAATCTAAAATAAGCTGAGGAAATTAAAGGCTTGATTTAGGCACACTTCTGTATCAGCCTATTTTTTCAGTTTAGAGGCATCTGATTTTTCAGCAACTGTCATGACTGGTGGAGTGGACACGGTCTGTATCACCATAAGAGTGTTTTATGCCAGTGTAGCTTTTTTCGTCTAACATTCAAGAGAAAATGTTACTATATAAGCACTCTTTGCTGCTACTAATAAACCTACCCTTGGGAATTCATACAGAATAGTAAAATTATCTATAATAAACCTATCCTAACCTATGTCACCTTACACACATTTCCCACTGTATTTCCTTCCCTGATATTTAGCCTGTTCCCTCATTGTTTATTCACCTCCCTAATGTTGTAATTGATTTCCCATTGTTTTTTCTCTCTGAATATCAAACCGCTGCAGACAGCCCTGTGATGTTCAGAACACTGTGTAAGCACCATGAGGTGCACCTACACCAGGTTGTCTCTGATGGCAGACTGCCTTGGAGCAGCTTGCCTTGCTTGCACAGCCTCACTCCCTCCATTCCCAGGGTGTCCCATGCAGAGCCAATGTCTGCAGATGTTCACCAAGCTCCTAGGACATGACTGAGCAGAATCTGGCCCTCCCTTATCACTGTACAGACCAGAGCACAAAATTTAACTCCCCTTGTGTCTAATCTTTATGGTCACCATTCTTCTCCGAGCTGTTGCTGGTTTGCCAACAAAAGGGCATATTTAATATATATTTCCTCATAACCTGCGTGTCAATACACAGAGTCCAAAGAGACTGAGTTTCCAGTGATCATGGAGTTACTCCTCATCAAACAACACAGTGCCGCTTCCCTTTGACTCTATCACCAGCTGCAAAGTGAAAATGCTTTAGCATGGTTTTGACTTAAATGCAAAAATCTTAGCAACTATGAATGAGTAGGATGACTAATTTCTTTGTTGATACTTTTTATGTTCTCAGCCCTTTATTGCAAATCTGGGCCACTTTTGTGGCAAGTGTTTTGCCTTTTTCCAAGATAAACCTCTTCTTGCTGTTGGTGCCTGCATATCACAGTTAGAACTACAGATGTGTAGGGGACTACCTAGATTTTTCTTCTTAAAAAGATGCCTTTGTGCCATATTGGTCCTTTGTAATTCTTGCACTATCTGTTAACTGCAAATCATCTGACACTGACCCAGCTGTATTTTACTAAACACACCCTCCCCCACAAGGTCACAATTGAAAACCAGAATGATTTCAACAGTCCCTTGCCAACTTTTAATCTCAGTATTGACATATAAGCCAGTCCGAAGAGATTTTTTTTCCACAGTATTTTGCACAGTACTGTGCATTTCTGTCAGCCACTTACCTTGTAGCTCTGTCAAGAGATTAAACTCTTTAACACATCTTTTTCTTCAAGCTGTAGGGAGCAAAGTACATATACTGTAAAGGTTTGTGATTTTCAGGAAACATAAAGCCATGTCAATGCAAGCTATGATTTCATATCACTCCTGCCTCAGGGATATCACTGACTTACTCTCTGACTCAGTGTGATATTAGAACCTTTCTACTCCAGTAGTGTTTTATTGTAAGGTAATTTGCTTTACTTATTTGTAGAAACTGAGAAGATAAAATGTTTCAGAAGGAATAGCACTTCAACAAACATTTTACATTCTAGACAGGTGTGGAGGAGACTTTTAGCTTCTATTATTTACACATGATTATTTCAGGTTCTTATAGCTGCTCTAGATTTTATGTCTCTTAATGCTAAGATTACTTCTTAGTCTTCACTTTTGCTAGTTTTTACATTTTCTTTCTAGAGTTAGGCAGGCCACACATATTTCTGACAATTTCTCTGGCTCCAGGGAGATTTTCTGCAGAAACTTTTCTAATTAAACATTTAGAGTGCCTACCTGATTTTGTCTGAATGCTCCTGGTGAAATGTGTATGGGACAGTAACTTCAGCCTCTTTCCCCTGTGTTCGTCTGGTGTTTTCCAGCAGCATGTGATGAGTTAGGGATCCGGAGGCTGGGCTTCAGCTCCATCCTGTTGCCTGCCTGCTTGTCATTAATTCTATTGTGTGATGTTTACCCAGATTCATCTATTTTTCTTCCTCCTTTCCCCTTCCTTCCAATTTTAACAGAATTCAGTTTACTTAAAGCTAGTTCCTAATTGTTAGGTCCTCCAGAGACCTTCTGTTCCTGGAGGGAATAGGTACAGCACAAATCCCTCCTAACAGAGGTACCCTCACAAGTACCTACAGAAATGGCTGAAAGGGGATGGTGTTACTTTCTGTTCTCAAAACACAAAAGGTGTAGGACAGCACTTTTTGTTCAAATAGGTACAGGATTAAGTTTTTCACTGGGATTTATAAATTTCTATTGTTTAGAAATATAAACATTCATGTTTGCAACTATGTCTTGAAATAAAGAGTTTTTACAATGACTGTTTTCTTATATCTGTGAATTATGGAAGAAAAGTTGAACAGTCCCACAAAAACAGAAAAATAGATACCACAGACAGTGAAAATAGGCTTTGTCTGTCCCAGCAAGACAAGGCTGTACTTCTGTCTTCAACCAAACAAAACATCTTTCATGTTCTGATCCTTAGAAAGGTGGACCTGCAGCCCCCAGGAGTCTGGTCAGGAATACTGCTTCCCCTCTAGAGAATAGTTGAGTTCTCAGATGAAAGCGTAAGATCAAGCATGTAATGAATACTCTGTGATGCTAACTTGATTTCATCTGAAAGCTGAGCTGCTGTATTCAACCCAGATGAATACAGAGTGCCAAACTCTCTTGTCAGAGCTGTAGGCATGAGAAGATGAGCTGAGAGAGAACATTAAATGATTTAACCACTACAATTCTGGAATCATCAATTAATTGTGACTCCTATTTTTTTAACTGAGAATACCATGTAGTCCTGAATATCTTCTGATATTGGACTGAATTGAATTGAATTGATCTGGCTGGTAACTGCCTCTGTGTCCGATTCTGTAGGCTGGAAACTGATTTCATGTCTTCAGTGTTTGCAATGGATGCAAATTCTTCTCTTCCAGAGCCTCTATCACTTGGAACATGACAGAAAATAATTTGAAGAATATGCAAGCAGTTTTGTTTCTGCTTTACTTTGAGTCTTTAGGGAAAATTATTAGCTATTGTTTCAGGCCTATTAAGTTTGAGCGAAAGACTTTATTTGGAGTGTCTGTCACCTTTTTTTACTGCAATTTGCCAGGTCTCTGATGCCATGAGAATGGAAGAAGTGGTGCAGAGACCCACATCCAGCTCTGAACAGCAGTGGAGGCTAAAATCAATTTTGTTATTTCACAAAATATCAGACTATTTTGCCATGGGAAAGAAATGCAGGAAAAGACAGAGGGCTGAACTGAGCTCTGAGAAAAACGTCTTTGAAAGTATACAGTGGGATGGGAAGTTGCAACTGCTAAGACACATCTATCCGCACATCTAACCACAGCAATATCTGTGTCAGCTGCAACCAGTCTGGCTTTAAAGAAGTCTGGCACAAGCAAAACCAACATCATGCTATCCCAGGACTGTATCTGCAGTTGGCCTTGAGAGAATTTTTAGGTGCAAGCAGAAGGGCATAACTTTCTTAGCAGTCTAAATGGCATCAAGATGGGACCCCAAGCAAGGAGAATGTTTTGTGCTTCCACCTATCAAGAGATGTTTGCATCATCTAGTCACTGTATGTACTGACTGATAAGGGTCACTTTTCAGAGCACTGTAGCCTGACAAAATATTGAATTACTCAGTCTTCAATTGCTTTGTCTCTTGAATGTAGTGTCATGCATTTGATTTTGCTGTGTTTATTCCCCCCTCCCAAGAATATGAGTTTAATTCTGTGTACACCCACCAGTATATACAAACTGAAGGATTATAGTTCTAAGGATGATGTAAAGTAGATTGTTGTCTAGGACTCACACAAATTTACCAATAAGGACCAAAACACAAGCATAATTCATCTACAGCACTTCTCTTGAAGTGCCTTACAATTACCTTACCACAGAAGGCAGCTCCTCCTCGAGCTGAACATCGCAACACCTCAGACTTGGCTCTCTACCCTCCTCTTCACTTTGTGTTTTCCTTCAGCCTATCCCTCAAGAGCACAGATCCATAAAAAAAAGCCTGAAAACAGCAGCTAACTACTCAGAGGAAGCTTTCAGGGTGCTGAAGCCACCTTGTGAAGGATTCCAAGCCTTTGTTAAAATGGTTGAGGCCTGCATCCCAGTGATTGCCCTTTAATCTGGTAAAACCTGATGACATCCAAATTCCTTAAGTGTCTACATTTCTAATGCTAACATTTCTCTTGTACCTAAATTCTGTATTCCTTGCTGCAAGATTTTCAAGGAAATGGGAGCACCAAGCTTATATGGAGCTGCTTCAAGAGTCAAGCAATTCATATAGGTGTTTTTGGCAGTTCTTACTTTTGACTAACCAGCTGACCAGCAGCTTCTGCAGTCCTGTTCTATTCAGATCTGTTTTGGATAACAGCAATAAGTTGTTGCTTACTGTTTCAGACAGGGAAGTGAATACTGAACTCCAGCTTCCTGCCAAGACCATCAGTGCCCAAAAGCTCGGGTTATTTGTGAAATGTGTCAGTGAGTTTCAGCTCAATTGATGACTCCACTGCAAAGTTAAACCACCATGACTGGTCTTCTTAGATCAGTAAGATAACCCCACTGACCATAGCCTCAGCCCAGGGCTAGCGTCAGTAGGGTTGAAGGACCAGGGGTGAAGAAGTGAGGCATGCTGGAAAGGGGAATTGCAGGCAAAAAATATTCCTTATCATTTCCACACTGTTATTTTTTGAAGATAGGAGAACTCCATAGCTCTAAGCCTTGAGTGTTTAAGGCTCCAGAAGTGCCAAATGAATGCATAAAAGTGAGAAGAGTCTATAGCTAAATCAGAAGTTCCATTTTCAATTTATGGTGTTGATTCAACCTCCAGCATTAGACATTACTCAGAACAGCACAGTAGAAAAGCAGGTAAACAAATCTCAGTCATATTCAACACCCATGAAGACAGCAGTAAGGCTCCACAGACTATCCTTCATTTCAGCATGAAATGACCAGCAAGCATTTATTGGCCACTAGAGAACACAGGACCTGTCTGATTTTTTTGAAAGTAATTTTAAAGTCAAACAAGATGAAGACAAGTCTTGTGATTCTCTGCTGGTAAGTTCATGTCTCAGCACAGCTTCATGCTTCTGTCCCCTGTGTGTGAGATGCAGACAATCAGCCTGAGATGAGAGCTGTGGCATTGGTGCATGGCATCATGCAGCTGGGAAAAACTGCTGTGCCACAGATTTTACTGTCTCCTGGGACCCTGCACTCAAAGGAGATATGCAAGGCTGCACAGTTACCCACTTGACTTTACCACTGTGGTGCCTTTCACAACCCGTAGACAGACACTTTCTCACTAAAAATAAAGGTACTAAATAAAGGGTCCAAAGTCCCTGTGTGTCTTTCCTGAATGCCTAAGGGAAAAGCTACCTACAGTGAAGGGTATCCCAGACTTAGTCTTCAGAAGGGCCATAGATAACCTTCCTCCTACCTGAATGGGTCCAGGGAATGTCTGTTTTGATGAACCAGACTGAATGTTCCAGTCTTAGCTGGAGAGTTGCAGCTGAAAGCAAAGGGAAGTTTGAAACCTTCTGTAGCAACAGGAACTCCAGAGACTGAATGTCTGTGAACTCTTCTTGGCTGCTATTCATGGGATGCAGCCAGAGAACCAAAGACTGTGGGCCAAGCACATAGAAACTGCAACCACAGCAGGAAGAATGGCAGAGGCAAGGGCAGCGGAACCACTGTTCTTACATCTTGAAGCTGAAAAAAAATCAAGACAGAAGTATTTAGGACTCTTTTCACTTCCTAAAGCTTGCTGCATTTGCTAACACAACCTTTGCCCAGAAAAGCCATTTTCTCAACTATATCTACTACTTTGGCTTGGTTCCAGGAACAAACTCTTATTCCTGAATGATTGTTTCAAGTTCAAAGATTGCACTGACACATTACTCTCCAAAGAGACAAAAGCAAGAGTCCAGTATTGGTGGTGGACTTACAGAAAGATGGAGATGTGGAACAGGCCCAATGAGGTCTTCCAGCACAGAGTTATCCCTATAGCCAGGAAACTCAGTGTGTTCCTTGCCAAAGGATACCTTTTCTCCCTTCTGTCTCAGGAGAGAGATCACAGCTAAAGCACCAATAGTTTGTTTACACTAACCTCAGCTTGACAGAGATAAGTAGTAGCTTCACAAAATGGTAGTGGACTAGAGTAGTCCTGATGCTGGAAGTGTAGCAGCCTTGCAAACCACCAGCATAAATATCTGGGTTCGAACTGCCAGCAAATCTCACCCGCCTTTGCAATAAGAACACTGGGGACCCAAATGCATGAGTCCTACAACATCCTTGCAAAGGCACCTGGGACAAATGGAGGCTGCAAAGAACCCCGAGACCTGATGTGTATCAGGTGGCTTCATCTTTAGTGACCTGTGGAGTTCTCCCAGGTTTCACAGCAAATGGGTAAAATCTGGGTCACGTGGCTCTTGCAGGTGAATATAGCGGGCAAGCTACAGGTTTGCCCTTGAGTGTGACCCTGTGTAGGTACAACCGGTGAGGGCTGCTTGGGGTAGTGGAGACCAGACTGTCCTGCACCCCCACCGCGTAGGAGAGGCTGTATACAATACCTTCCACCAGCTGGCAGTGGTACTTGCTGTAGTTCCCCACAGAATGAAGATGCAGCCGGTTACCGTCCTGCGTCTGAATGAAGTTTTTGACAAGAAATATCTCGTAAGGGGGAATGAGGACTTCCTTCTCAGATGTGTAGTAAGAAAAGCCTTGCATAGCTGCTCCCAGGCAAGTAGTCACTGTAAACAAAGTTTCATTCCCAAACTTCTGGGCTTCACTCCTGAGGCGGGAGGTGGAAGTGAAACGGCCAAATCGCACCCTGCTGCCTACCGTGGCCTCGATATATAAGTCTTTTACACCCCTGTGCACCTGGTAGCACTTACGTTTCCCCATGCTTTCCTTGCTGCTCTGCCATTCCTTCATTATCTGGATAGCAGTTGTTAGGTAAAAGTGAAAATATTTGAAACTGAAGTTGTGTCTGTAGTGCTCTGGAGAGATTCCTGCTGTAGATGTAGCCCAGTTCAGCTGAGAGTGCAGGGAAGAGTTCATGGTGTAAGCCATGAGGACTATGCCATGGCTGTCATGCATCTCCCTCAGGAGACCTACAGGGCTCTTTAACAAAGCTTCCTGAGCCTTCTTCCAGAGGCTCAAATAGTCCTTGTTAGCAGCTATTTCCTTTTGAAAATAGTCTCCTTGCTCCAGTTCTTCCATCATCTCCTCTCTGCACCCCAGATACTGGTCATCAAAAGAATTCAGAGCCATATCCATCAGGATGTGGGACATAGCCTGCAACATAAAACCAAATTAAGATTAGCATCAGAAGTATGAACTTCTTGTGTATCTCTATAAATGCTAGCCAAGTTTTTCTCTACCCTTTTCTCGCTGCTTTGTCATTATTGGCAGAGCAAGCAAGGCAGGTAGGCAACTTAGGCAAAGACCTTTCTGAGCAACCTCAGGCCTATACATCACCTCAGTCAGATGCCAGTCAGGATACCAGAGTCCTTATTTGATGTGGATCAGTCACATTAAAAACTTCAGGAGAGCTGGCTCTTCAGAGGGTGATGGTATAAAGCCTGTACGACAGACCCATGGTCCATTTATAGCAATATTCTGCCCAGGATTATTAAGTGGTTTTGAAGAGGGAAAGAATAAGCAAATCAATGTGCTAGGGCAGTGTAACCTGAACACTCAGAGGTGAATTTCTTCCTCCTGTCCTTCCAAATCTCTTGGACATGTTTTGGCTCCAGGGAATAATGTAAAGGACAATATAGTAGCAGTGTGACAAAACTTTTGTTCATCCAGTTTGTCTCAGTGAGACCAGCTGGACTTGTCATGTAAATAAATATTAACCATGAGTAAGGATTCACACAACTGGGTCCTATAACAGGAAAATAACCTCTAATATATTCTGCCAATGAAACAACCAGCTAATTATGTGTATCTAGCATTTCTAATTAATAAAAACCTTGTGTAATAAGATCTAAGAAATTGTGTGAGTTATGGTATTGTTCCTTTTGCTTTTTGATCACCTAGTAGACTAGTCAAGTGCTGTAGTCAGTTGATAGTTGAATTCTACAAGTAGCTAGATATTCACTTTAATCTCAAATATTCATCCTAGACATGTAACCAAACTGACACCTTTCTTAGCCTCTGAAGTTATACTGGTCCATAAACTATGCAGGGATTCAATTTATTTCTCATTGAATATCATAATTGTTTTGAGGGAAAGCTAAAAGGCCATCAAAATACACAGAACAATATTTTTACCGTCCCATCCAACAACACACTGTTTTTGTCAGAGCCTCAGCTGAGACAGGTGGGAAAAGAGAGGAGATGATGAGGTCTACTCATAAAAATACTGCAGGAAACCATCTGGCTCTAAACAAGAGGAAATTTCCAGCCAAGCAGTTAAAAGAATTAGGACAGGTAAGAAATGGAACAGAAGAACTGAAAGCAGAAAAGTTAAAAATTAACTAAAAGCTCCTTAAAGAAACTGTTTCAAATGGGAAAAAAATTAAAAACTTATTTCAGTGAGGTAAGCAGTTTCACCATTTCAAATAAAGAACGTTTACCCTTTTTACCAATATTTGTGAGGAGATCAGCAACAGGAGGCTGCCCAGCAGCGCTGGCTTCCTAGAGTCCACCCAAGGCACTGGAAAGAACATTTTGTTCAAGAAGAGGTCATTTACATCTGTTTCTTTCCCTTTTTTCCTGAACTGGAAAATTCTGCAGTTTGTAATTTGCACTCAGGTTTTGGTGACAGTTCTTCAACCAAAGATCATTCACCAGATTCTTACAGCAATTCAGAAGTCATTAATCATCCAAGCAGACAATTTACTGGTAGAAATGTGCCCACAATCCATAAGGAAAGGTCTGGTTGCACCAACTCCAGCTGATGTGAGTGTCCGTCACCTTAATAGCTCTTTTAATTCCAAGGTATCCAGTGTTCTTGTTCTTGCAAAAAGGAAGAAAATCATGGCATGTCTAAGGCAGTTGTCCCCTGAGGAGTGATGTGTCAGGATGAGTACTCCCTGGTCAAGAGCTTATAAAGCCCTTTTAAAGAAGTTGGCTCTCATAAAGCCAACACAGAAATGCAGGGTAGGTTGGGATCCCATCTGGAAGCAGAGATAACCTAACTGTCCTTCTCTTCCTTATCACCCCCTGGTTTCTAATCATGTGTTGCCAATCCTACCCCTACACCACTGCAGAGCTGCACCTTGTTGGACTGTTTACATTGGGTACATGCAAAATGAGTGTGCAAATGCAGATTCTGTACTGAGTCAAACCCCTCTCTAGCAGCTGATTTCCAGACCCCTTCCAAATAACAGCAGAGAGTTATTCCCTTTCAAAGCCCCATGACCTCTGATAACTATTCTTTGTGGAAAAACAGGCAAGAGCTGTCAGGGCCCTGGTTCTGATCACAGAGAAGTGAAAATCGTTTTCCATGGCCTGCTGGTGATAGGCTGGGTGAGAGGTGCACCTCCAGTCATAGCGTGATTTCCTGAGATGAGATGTTTGTGCAGATGCTTAGATTATGTGGATAGAGAGCATTTGCCAAATATTGCTGAAATAGGGTGAGAGGTGACATAAAGGTCTCACACTGGGCTGCTTCCAAAGCAGCTGATGCTGCTGACAGTATCTGTCACCACTGGGGACATAAAATGATGGCATGAAGAATGATACAAAGTGATAGATGAAGACTACCTACTTCTCCTTTTTGGAATTTCTCTGTTATTTTGGGCTTTATTTCAGAAAGTGGTTGTTTGACGGCTAAAAGTGAGTTCACAGAAGGGTTTGTGAATTAACTGAGGCATCTCCTGTTTATGTAGAGATAAAACAGAGCTAAACTGAGATGTGTTCCCGTGGGAGCTTGGCAATCATGATAAAAAGTCCCGCTTAGATGTCAATGCAGCTGCATATAATCCAGTTGCAGATTATGTCCCAGGTTTTCCCTTCTGATCTCTTAGTGTATGTTTAGTGTGAAGGGAATCAGGAAGAAAGGCCACTGAATTTGCATTTTCAAATGCTTCAGAAGAAACGGTGTACTATTAAATACAATAAATACAATGGCCATAAGATGGCAGCAGAAGATTTGTAGCAGAACTTAGACTTGGAGCTGCATTAACCAAGCAAAAATCGAATTCCTCCATTTCAGCAGTAAATTTGTAATGTGATCTGTGCACTCAGATCCCCAAAAGTCATGACTTCAGCCCACGTAGGGATCTGGTGACACAGAGTAGATGACATAATGGAGGCCTCCCAGTACAACTTGCTTGAAAAAAATATTTACTGAAAGGGAGAGAAAAAAATATAAAACTAACAGAATGATCCGAACATAGACAGGAAACTTTTTGTGCTAACAAAACCATACAACAACAACAAAATCCTTATTTTATTATTACACCAGACATTAGGATTTCACTATTCTCTCTAGTATTTTTCCAAGCAAAAATTTCACTTCTTCCAATAAGCACTCCGTTCATTTTTACTAGATGGTGTTCAGAGAAGAGTTTTACTGTGAGCAGTGAAGCCCCATCAGTTTATGCCAATAGAGGAACCAGTCACAGCTCACAGGTGTTTGACCAAGACATGCAGAGATATTTATTAAATGTCTTCTCCTTGGCCAAGATCAGCATAACTGGTACAAGTCATAGCAGCTTGCCAAACAAGATGCTCACACTCCTTCTGGCAGCCATCTCTGTGGACTTATCCCGTGTCCTTACTTCAGGCCTAGGTCTTTCAGGAAAACACTGAACTGGGTAGATGGTGAATCAGGAAAAGCCTGGCCCTCCTTTCCCTCGGCATCACAGAGTGCTGGAAGTACAACCTGAATTCCGATATAGTCACTTCTGATTCACACTGGGACACGGGAGGGGAGGAGGAAGACTCATGCACCGGGTTCCTGCTCCTCAGGGTTCACAAAAGCAGGCTGTACCTTCCAGGCACCTCTTTAACCACAGGTAAAGGTTGTAGAGAGGAACAGAGAGAAGCAGCACACCGACCTGCTTTACATAGGCAGTGTTTATTGCAATCTGCAGCTGAGGATGGTTTCACCAGCTTACATGTAACCAGAGACTTGATCTCTGTCAGTCTCCTGAGGATCAGCAGTCCTTGTCCTCGGAGGTGTGATCTGCCATCTACCTCTCAGGGAAGGAAAGCTGACAGAGCATATTAAGGAAGCTGTGCAGAAAGTGCTAAGGTATAATATTAATACCAGAGAACAGAATGAAGTAGTGCAGAGGGAAGACAATATGTATATAAATACACGCATACATTATATATATATATATATTTAGATACAAGTTGTCTTGAATAAATGAAATGCTGACCAACTTCAATCCATTCTTGAATCAATTTTCTTTTTGTTTATTTCATAACCTTTTTTTTTTTTAGCTGCTTAGACACTTCTAGTTTCAAGCATAAATGCTATAGCATTAGAGACAAACAGGTTGTTTTTTTTGTTCTGCTTGGGTACGTTCAGTTTCACCAGAAACCGGTTAAAAAAACCCACAAACAACAAGATATTTCCAAGTTGCTTTTTACAGACAGTCACCGAATTCAGTGTACAAATGGAAGAGCTCATCTAAAAGGAGGAAACACTCCTTAAACACTCCTTTTGGGATTTCTTTGTTGTTGCTATATGGGCAAATTTTGTGACAGAATAACCAGAAGAATGTACCAGAACCTGATTTCTGTCTATGCATTAGTATTTGCACACTTCTGTCTTTACAAAGTGATCCTACTGTGACGCATACTTAGTGTGATTATACTATGTGAAAATACTGAACTTTCCAGTAATTCTAACAGGAGGCAGCTGTTCTTCCTTCCTCCCAGTGAGCATCCCAGGATCAGATCCATCACATTTACGCACATTGTGTAACAACATCATAATTGTGGCATTCTTCTATAATCCCCCTGCATTTTTCAGAAAAGTACAAGAGGTCTAGTTTTGTTTCTAAGGCATGCAATAGTTTTCTTGAGACTAATCACCATTTTTTTCACCTATTGTGTCCTGGGGATTCAGATGGAAGGAGGTAAGACAGAGTCTTCTGGTGAAGCTCAAAATACCACAGGAGATGTCTAAAGAGAGACTTTTCTTGATGAAAGGAAGAAAGCTAATGTAAGCTCAACAAGTAGGATAATTACTGCCTTGCATTCCAGCTGGTTAAGGAGACAATGGAAGTAGATGCCAGTTTAGATATTTCCCTTCCCTCCTTCCACCCACAACCTTCTTTCTCTTGTGGGGCTCAGAGTGTTCCAAGCCAAACAAATGAAGAGACCTTCCAATCCTTAGTATCTCCCAAAGAAACGGTTGTAGGCCAAGGAAAATCCTATTTGGTCAGAGAGATAGTCACAGGGGGGATAGTTTTCACAGCGCTCATGCATCTGCTCCATTGGATTTTTATAATACTCGAAGTACCTGGAGTAGACAAAGACAGAGATACCATTCTGCAGATTCAGTCAATGCAATTGGAAATGGTTCACACACCTGACACTGACATGAAAGGAGTGATTCTCCAGGGTACAGGGGATTGCTCATGCTGAGTTAAATATCTACGTACATACAAACAGGCTACTTAATCAATGCTGGGGAAAAAAAAAAGAGATTGAACCCAGCTTAAAGCAATTGCTCTGTAAGTTTTATCAGCAAAGGAGACCACAGAAGCAGTTAGGGTTTGAGGGGTTTCTTTGCCTTCATTCCCATTCCCCAACTACCCAGGAATATTTTTTGTTGTTAGTATTATTTATTTTTATTACATATTTATTTTTTATTTCCTGATTGCATTTATTTTTGTTCAGTTTCTACTTACTTTCCCACTAGCTATTATTGTCTTTTAGCTTAATCACTTTTCTCTCATCATCCTCACTTCTGTTGTAGACAACAACACTAGCCCCATGCAGCTAATTTTAATTTTTTTTTGCCAGTTAAGCATGCCCAAATCTTTTAGTCTCAGCTCTGGATGCCCTTCTTAGCTCCTCTTCCAGATTGGATTAATCTTTCCTGAAGACTGTACACAACATCACAGAAGTCCCACCACTCCCTCATGAATTTTTACTTTATTTCTGTATTAGAAATACCCCATTGCATGTTGTCAAATTCATATTTCTGGATCAACCTTATCTCATTATCAAATAACACACCAGGATGTCTGCCTACCTCTGTCCTTCCTGATTAATGCTTAAAGCAGAAGCTACTTTTACAATGCCCCACCTGTAAGGGGGTTGTCGGTACAGACAGTACAGTTGCTGTTACTGAATTTCATCTTGATTTAATCACTGCAGGTTTCACCATCAGCCCGTTCCTCTGCTACAATACTGTGATCCTTCCCTCTACAGATGGGGCCTCCCAATCTTCTATTGTCTAAAAACAGCATTACCCTTCCAGTCCAAAGATGGATTGAATAAAAAATCCTTTTTCCAAAGGCCCGCACGGGAGAGTAGCTTAACAAACCCTTCCAGGAAATATATGAAGAACACCCTTGCATTACCTCAAATTTTTCAAATAGCTAGTATTTCTCCAAATCTTTATGTCTGGGATTTCTGCAAAAGTAGATGTATGATCTACAGCTTCAGAAAGAACAGCCACTCCGATCTAGCCTTATTCCTGCAACAGAGCTGTGCTTCCTTTGTAGGAAGCCAGAGGCAATGACCAAGCTTCTGTGATTCTCATTTTCCTGGAAATTGGTTCTGATGACCCTGTAGGTTAGAGCAGCTTCTAACTTGTATCCTTCTGTCCCCATGGATAGCCCAGACAGCTAGCACAGTCTTTCTCCCTGGGAGGAATACTGGAGTCCAGCTATGAGCTCTCTAAAGGATATTAATGAAAAAAGAACCATTTATCCATCACTGAGTGTCTCCTACAGCCTTTTTCCTCCAAAGTGTGGAGGTAATAACATAGATGTACTACGAAATAATACCTTGTACTGTCCTATTGCCTTCCCGCCCCCTCTTCAGAACAGG